TCGGGGGAGATTCCAGAATAAGAGTCTGGGGGAAGCTGGCAGAGACAGATCAAGAGAAGCCTGAAGGTCTACACAAGAGGATGGCCCATTCATAGCCCCTGGATCCCTCAGGAGTGTGAAACCTGACATCGCTTCTCCAGTGCCGGCATTTTCTTACTGTGGTGCTCAGAGACCAGCCGGACCGAGGCAGGGCAGAAAAGCTTCTCCCCTAGATCACAAGGCATCAACCCTCCCAAAGGCATGAGCCGTCTGACCCTTTGGTGCAACTGCATCACTGAGAAGCCCTCTGGGTAGCTCCAGCAGGCAGGTGTCACCAGCCCTTTCCAATCCCTTTTTTCCTGAGACCTGTGCTAGGTGGAACCCGAGGGCTTCCTGGCTCTGCTAGGAAGGCAGAGGGAGAACTGAGGAGGGAGGCCCACGCCAGGGGTGTTGGCACTATCAAGCAGAACTCTTATTACTCAGATTCGAAACCAGAAAGATCAGTAGCTCTTCCCAAACCATCGCCACTCACAGCCTCAAGGCACTGTGGCCTTGGAGTCTGCTCATCCTCTGGAGCACCTCGTCACCCGGTGCTGGGGGGCAGAGAACGTGGGCCCCCACGCCCCTTTGGCCAGCACCTCTCTGTCCTGAACCCACCCCTCACCCCAGCTGTGTGCTCTGGAGCTCCCAGCCTCACATGAGATAGAAGCCCTGGAGGATGGCATTAGAACTGTCCAGTCCAGTTATGAATGAAGGTCATGGATCTAGTGCAGACCATGGAGGCAGAAAGCAGAAAAGCCTCCCACGCGGGCACAGACACACATGCCTGCCTTTGCAGACAAACCCTGCCCCAGGGCCAGCCGGTGTTCTGAGGCTGGCAGACACCCCCAGGAATACTTCCTGACACCCCCTCCGGAGCCAGGCAGAGGCACCAGCTGTAACCTGGGACATCCCTGTCATCCCCTGCAAGCCATTGCCAACCCGCCCTTCTGCTCCCTCCCATCACTCCCCCTGGAGGTCAGGCCTCCAGAGCTTCCTGGAGGGCTGAGCTGCTGTGCCACATATTGCATCCCACTTGGGACACACCCCTGATGCCCCCTGCAAGACGTCGCCAGTCTGCCCTTCCTGTCACTGCCCCTGGAGGTCAGGCCTCCAGAGCTTTCCTACAGGGCTGAGCTGCCCCATATGGCTGGGAATATGTTGGCAACACAGGCAAGTGCTCACTGGGGCCCATCAGCCGGCTGTGACAATGTCACGCTCACGCCAGCCAGGCCTTTGGCTGACTGACGAGTTACACAGCAGTGCCCAGGGCTGCACAGAGCCTGTCCAGGGGAGCCAGGGATCACCAGTGCTGGGACTGCCTGCCCCAGTTGGGACCACACAGGTGATATCAAGACCCAGGACAGCATCGTGAGAAGCCCCAGAAAAAGGCCCTGGGTTCGGGTCTCACAGGGTACCTACGGCAATTCACACCTATGCTGTGTGAGACTGGTTAAGATCCCTGCTCAGGAACTGGGCTGGAGGCCAAGCTGGTCCCACGGAAATGAAGAGATCTTACGCAAACCCATTTTTCAGCTCTCCAAGCTAACTGACTGAGGTTCTGTTTGACCAGACTCATGGGAAAAGGTTTGCAAGAAGCTTAGCCCTTGAGACCACAGATCACGTTTAAAGCCACAGTGAGTGGGCTGGCTCTGTAGCATAGTGGTTATATATTGTGCATTAGGAACCAGATGCCACAAGGCTGACCATGGTTCAAATCCAGGCCCTTGCAGCTTGAGAAACATACTAGGCATATGTGTGTGCATGCCCACAATCCTGACAGGAAGGAGAAATAGAGAAAAAAGAAATTGAGGGAAGACAATGGTGCTGTGGCCACATCTTCCTGGGGGGCTTTCTCTCGCTCTCTGTCTCTCCTCATCTCTGATAGCACCCTAGCCCTTGAAAAGAAAAAGAAAAAAAAAAAGTTGAAAAGAAAAGGAAAAAAAAAAGGCACAGTGAGAGAAACTATGACCTTACAGACCCAGCCTCAGACTCAGCACAAAACTCCTGGAACACAGGCACAAAACTGGCTGCAGTGCAGAGTCTTAGGGCCAAAACGATACACTGAGCTCGGAATGCCAGTCTGCTTCAAGGCTGAAGGTGAAAACAGGCTGGTGACAGGCAGGCCTCTGGCCTACCGACCAAGAGGTGCCTAACAAGCCTTCCTTAGCAACCAGCATGCCCACAGCCACATGATGTGAGCTCTTTACAAACCATGGGTTGGGGCCAGCAGGTGGCAGAGTAGTCAAGATGCTGGACTCCTACATGACAGCGGTTCAAGTCCCAGACTCAGTGGCTTGAAACTCACCAGGTGCATGTGTGTGTGTTCTCAAAATCCCAAGAAGAGAAGAGATTACAGCATGGCCATTTCCCCTGGGGAGTGATTTCTCACTTTCTCTCTGTGTCTCCAGAGAGTGTTCTTACCCTACAGCAAAAATCTCTCTAAAAAAAACTAATAAAGAAATAAAAGCCGTGGGTCATTCTCAGGGCCTTTAAGCTCACCAAAGTCCTACTCAGTCACTTCCCGTCACTTTCCCATGTCTCCATTCTCTGCTAACACCTTCCTTGTTCAGGTTTGTACAGTTGTTGGCTGCTGTCTGTCCCGACCAGAACTCCATGAGAGCAGGGGCTGTCTTGTCCACTGGGGACAGGCCAGCAGACCCTTTGTAACTTTTGGGTAACTACAACCAGAACTTCTGCAGCACAGGCAGAAATGGGACCATCTAAGCCAGACAGGGTCAGGCTGTGGCACAAACTTGTCCCCTCATGCACACTCTGGCGAGGCAGGACACTCTGAGACCATGGGTCACCCTTGCCACATTGGACTCCAGCCTGCAGCCAAATAAGGCCACTGGAAAGTGCTAGGTAAATGAGGAGGGACTCAGCCACGACATTCCCTCTCAGAGGCCTCAGAGTCCTCAAGCTTCATTACCAAGCCCAAGACAGCCGATGCCAGGATGCAGAGTCCCAGGAGTCCCGGAGAGCCCATACCCTACGCCGGGTGCAAATCCCAGCTGGTATGGCCCCTGGGAGTCAACTGTGAGTGGAAACTTCAGAAAGGGAAAAACTAATGGGTATGTTTTGCCCAGGGAAAGAAGAAAACAAAAAGCCTGCTACTGAGAACTGAACAGGCAAACACCAGCCCCTCCAAGGGAGCTCACAAGCACTTGGGCAGCCTGCTCAGGGGCGGGGCACAGCCCTGAGCTGGGGGGCACCATCCAGAGGCTCGGAGCCAGTTGGGCCTGCCTTCCTAAGATTTGTGCTCATCAGAAGAGGTGGAGTCAGGCCAGAGCCCAGGATGGCAGTAAGGAGGTACGGATGTCCCGTGCCAAAGCCAAGCAAGACTTCTGTGCAACCAAACTCCCCACACAGGCTTGTCCAGGCTAAATAGTCCTGTCACCATTCAGGGCACAGCAGCGGCATCTTAATACTGATGGATCAATTCCCGGAGAATGGCCGCATTCTGGACACCAGGAGGAAGAGTCTCGGCCACATGGTTGCTCCATCGCAGCAGCCAAAGGCCACATTTGCATCTGATTTGCAAATCTGGGCTGCATCCAAGGCTCCTGCTAGTCCCCAGGGATGCGCGGCCTGACATGAAGTGGGCCTGCAGCTTCGGGGACCTAGCAAATCCCAGAGGGCACCAAGGCACCCATCTCTGCAAGTGTATCCTCCCTGCAAGTTCAAGGTCCAGAGTTGCAGAGCCTAGCCACGGAGGGCAGGGCAGGACACACCTGCCTTGGGTGCCCACGGGCAGGGAGATAGCAGGTGGGGGAGCCGGGGGTGCTGACTCCACCCCGACATACACAGGAGAAAAGCCCAGCTTTGCCGTCCCCGACATTCTCTAGGCCCTCAGCTTGAGCCTCCACCCTAAGATCTTGCCCAGTAACTTTTTTTTTTGGAGAGATTTTCACTATAGGGCGCATGCGCTCGCCAGACAGAGACATTAGAGACAGAAAGCGAGAAATCACCCCCAGGGGGGATGGCCACGCCCCAATCCCTTCTCCTCCATTCTCCTCTCGGGATCTTGGGCACCCACGCACATGCGCCCGGCGTGAGTTTTAAGCCACCGGGTCCGGGACACGAACTGCGGTCGACTACGTGGGAGTCCAGCGACATAGCCATTACGCTAACTGCTGGTTCCCTTGCCCAGTAACTTTACAAACACTCAACCCTTCTGGGTTGTTTCCCTGATCTCAAGAGGATACTGAATAATGACCAATATGCAATGAGTCACCTGCTGTGTGTCAAACCCCCCACCCCAAGACCTGCCACGCTTGACACCTGCAGGTAAACATCTGGCAGTACCAGCCCCATAGGCTACCCACTGCTAGCATAAGTGACTTGTCTTGGACAAGGGGCTGTTTCTAAACCTGGATCAGTGGGCTCCTGCAGCTTCTCTTCCAAGGAGGGTCCTGCTGGGGTTGGAGGACTGGGTGCGGAGGGGTGGGGCTGATAAGTCATCCCCAGGCTGCCTCCTACCACACGAGTTCAGAGCGGAACAGCCTCTGGACACACAAAGGATGGACCTAGGGCTTCCTGAGATGAAGTTCAGAAGCGACCTTTGATCCAGGACTGGCATCTGATGGGGCTTGGCCCTCACCCTTCATACCTACAGGCTGCTGGCACCGTTTAGTGTCACGCTATGGAAATGCTAGGCAGATTCTTAAACGTCAGCTACTCCAATCTCTTTATTTGGTGAGTGAGGAAACCGAGACCCAGAGGGAAGCGAGCAGTGAGTGACAAAATCAAGGCCAAATGTAAGTGTCCTGCTCCTAGGCCAGGGCTCTCTTCTCAATCTGATATTTTTTCTTTCTTTTTTTTTTTTGCTTTAATCTATGGCACTTAAGATATAACTGTCCAGGTCAGAACCCACTAAGAAAGGCAGGTTTAGGGTCTATGCAGTCTCTACTCTAAGGAGCAACCCCAGACCGGACCAACCCACACTTCCCAGTGGCTTCCTGGGAACCAGGATCAGCTACCTTTGCATCCCAAGAGACCGGGGTCCAAAGTCCATTCCAATGTGCACCACTGGGGAGTTGCAGGACCACCTGGTAAAGGAGGGGTCGATGTCTGTGGCAGCTGGAAGGGCAGGTGGGATGGAGAGGGTCTTTGCCTTCTCTCAGCGAGGTCTGTTTGCCTACCAAAATGAGAAAGGAAACAGAAGATCAGGCTCCAGATGACATCCACAAAGCTACTCCATGCTGGTGGACAATGGAGGGTAAGGTCCCAACACCTAGTGTGGTAACCAGCCAGCGAGGTAACAGATTCCTGGACCCTGACTGGCAATCAGTAGATGGCATTGCCATGGTGCGTGCCATGCCTGCCCCTGCAACCAATGCACCCTTTGCGCACTGATTAGCCAATTGCTACATGGTTGTCGCACCTAATAAAAGAATCAAACAGGCAGAAACAATACTGGGCTAATCGGGGGCCACCCCAGGTAACAACAGAGTGGTCACACCCAAGGCTGGGCACCTGGGGGTGAAAGGTCAGCCTGACAATGGCTCAAGTCCACTTTGGAAAGAGAGCACACCCATGCAACCCAACCAAACCTTGGACTCCCTAGTCCCCTGCTCCCTCCAGACTTTTCCCTGGCCAACTCCTCACTGCCCCCATGACCCAGGGTGGCCTAATGTGAGTCTCTAAAGGGAATCAACAGGTGTCTCAGTAGCTTTCAGGATGAAGAATTTGGTTTCTTCTTTCTTCCTTCCCCTCTCTCTACTCAGGTGCTGTGTCATTCCATCTCACAGAGAAGACAGGAGGGCATCGGCATCACTCAGAAAGGGCTGCTGAGATTCATCTGTGATAGGTGTTGGCCAAAGGGGAAAAAAAGTGGCCAAAGAAACTTGGTGCCCTGCTACCGGCAACCTTTGTGTCAATTTAAGCAAATATTGTGGTGTTTCCATGGTGATTCCTGTTTTGAATATCCACTACACTCACTTTTTAAAGGGCTTTTCCTGTTTGCGTTTCAACTTCAAACCTGTAAATATTTTCAGCCTTTTTAGAAAAAAAATGAGCCCATGCGCGTGCAAATGCAAACACACCACCCAATCTCGGCCCACAACCTCCCAAGGTTGGAGGCCCAGCCTCAAGGATGTGAGTGTGGGGTGCAGGGAACCCAAGGGGGACTCTCCATCTGAATGTGGAGTGGCATCAGGAGGGTGACACTGAAATTCTAGTCCTCTGTTCCTATGGCTGGGGAGTGTGGCATCCACAGCGGCGGTGTGTTGCCCAAGTGTGTGCACAGTGGGCCTGACTCCACAGTGTGGCATGGTGTGGGCAGCAGCTCAGCAGGTTCTCCAACGTGGCCCAGCCCTGAGTCCCTGGGGGCCTCCCTGGAGTGCATGACCTCTCCTCTCCGGCCTCCCAAGGCTGGGCCTGTGTGGAAGGGGGTTGGCTCCTGAAGGTGCAGGGCTTTAGCATCAGCTCCACCTCACCTCTGCTGGGCAATGCCACCAGGACCTGCTCCCTGGGGGAAGCCATCAGGGATGGACGTGACAGTGGTCCAGGGATTAGATCAGCCCAGCTCCCATCCCATCTCCAGCACCATCCAGGGTTAACAGCAGGTTTCCTGGTTTCCATGGATTCCCGCCAGGCCCCTAATGTGAGTTTCGTGTGATTTGGGGGAAGTGGATTTCCTTTGTTTTCCAGTTTGGGAGTATTTTTTTTCTTTAAAAAAGAGGAAAAAACACTTTAATGGGAACTTCAGGGCCATGGGGAGACCTATTCCTCTGGGTTTGGAACCTCCCTTGCCTGTTAGTCCAGATCCCTCAGACTCCTGGGCAACCAACCCACCAACGAAGTATCTCTGGACTGGAAGAAGGAGTTCCCCAGACCACCCATGGCTCCACACGACCCGAACACCCCTGCTGGAGGTCTCCAATCCAATGTCCCATTGCAATGACCCCCTCTAAAAGCCAGCAGCTCAGAGGGACTACCCCTCCTTCCTTCTGGCTCTGCAGAAGGAACATGTACATTTTCCCAGAAAAAAGGTCAAGAGAAACGCTTCCACCCCTCTGACTCCTGGGTAAGGACTTACGAATGCCAGAGTCCGGGTGCACATCAATGGCGTGCAATCTTAGGTCCTGGTTCAGAAGCAGTGCTGGGATGGGGAAGAGGGGCAGGGGTGGTCCAGATGCTAGGAGCCCTTGTCCAGCCTACAGCTGAGACAGGAGCCTACCCAGGGAAGAGGGAGCCTCAGCTTTGGCAGCAAGAACAACTGAATAAAAAGGGTATGGCCAGGCTTCCTCTTCCTCCTTCTTAGTCTTCCCCATTCCTGCCATCCCCTAGCCTTGCCAGGGCATGGCCTTGTTCAGGGACTGTCCCCAACCAAGTGGCCTGACCTATTTTCCAAAGCAGGGCACAGGCCCCAGGGCCTTCCATGGACTGTAGCTCTCCCTAGCACGGGCCCAGGAGCCATGGCAGCAGTGTGGATCCTGGTCAGTAGGTATAGTGCTCAGACCAGCAGTCGGGGGTGAAGAGATGAGACTCTGAGAGCAGTTACAGTTCTAAGGGCGGGCGGGGGGTGGGGGGGAGGCTGTGGCTCCCAAAGCCCCGGGGTGGGGCTCGGTTTTTGCACTT